TAAATTGAGGAGGATTCATACTTAGGGAATGTGGAGAAGGAACCACACGTTTTTGTCATTTTCAAACATGTTGAAATCTATGTACAGATTCTAGTGAAAAAATGGAATTTAAAGATCAAATTTTTGTCGAATACATTATTTTTATACTTGTAAGTGAACTACAAATTTTCATAATTATATGTTGGTATACTTTTGATTGGGGAAATAAGTCAGTGGACAAGAGCTCATTTACTTATATGTCATTTTGTTCATTGTCTCGTCTATTTCTACTCCTGTGTTGATATTGAGACAAAATTGAAACTAATGCGATTAGTATAATCATTAGTTGAGGTGATGAACTTGTTTGACCAAACAATTAACGAAATTCCCACATTAGGATGATATATTTGTCAAGAGTCAAGTTTATGTCAACAGATCGTTCGACTGGAGAAGTGTTGATTGTAAATTATTCTCACTGCAACTTGAATGAATGTAGAAGTCTGATTAGCCGACACGGTCTCTCTGAACAGAAAAATATTCAATTGCACATGAGTTTCCTTCTCTGCACAATCTGGATATAAATCATTTTTAATTTTTCAATTTAAATAATAAAATAATTGAATTTTCATGTTGCTTATTTCTTGCCTTCATTGCAATCTTCCAGTCTCTTAAACAAAATTTTATTTCAGTAAAATGAGAAAAGAAGTTTTAATACCTAAATTTGTTTTATTGTTCAATTTATTCATAAGGAAATATGTATACATTTTTAACATTTTGCAGTCACTTTTTAACGTCGGTTCGCTTGCGACACTGTAGCAGCTGTAGATTGGAGGAAAGGACACGCATCAGGGAAGATCAGTTACCTTCAGGAGTTGATATCTTCCCATTCTGCCCAAATCAGAAATCAACTTCCAAGAACACTTTGCTACTGAGGAGTTCTAAATTAACAGTGCATAGGTCTGGATTAGCAATTCGTCCATTCATTGAGTTTCAATGACATAAAGCTTACCTTGTTGTCTTGATTGTTGTCTTTGTTGAATTGCAACTCATATATTCTTCCTTCGATAGCTGCAGTTAAGAGAAAATATTGTCAGATTTGACTATAGCATTCCAATTACTGACATTGAGTGAAGTCAGGAGAATGCTGTTTTTTCACAATATGCTAACAGAATTCAATTATCAGCAATTGTATTTTGGTGAAGGAAAATTGCTTTACAACTCAATTTAACTAAGTGATCAATGTACTCGAAGCAACACTGATATGAACTCACTGTATGTTATGTAGTATAGTTGGAAAAAGTGTGGCGTGTGCATAATCACACTGCTATAACCCTGCAGGCAAATGAATCTCCTTCATTACTCAAACTCCCCAAAATTGAAGAGAGTGTATCTATTAAGTTGCAATTCATGATTGCTTATCTGAGGCTTATAGGCTAAATCATCCAACACAATCGGTGAGGAATGCGAATGGATCTTCTCAGTAAAAACATCCACACAATTTTCATTTTTTCATCACGATTTGCCAATCAATAGTACTAGTGATCTGGAGAGCTTTCAACAAAGAACACAGTAAAATCAGGAAAGAGATAAATTTCGATTTGAATTGACACTTTAAAGCAAATTGATTTGTGCAGTTTAAGGTATGTTACGCATTTTTTTAAATTGAGAATATTAAATTGTATTGAGTTTCTAATAAAGAAAGCGTATGAAAAGAGTACTTTTATTACTCCAGTTGTCAAGACATTACTGGACTCATTCCAGTAATTTAAAAAATTGGCGTTATGAACTCATATTATCAAATTAAACATTTTCCGATTTGTGAGACGTTAATCCCGTTGTAGACACATGTCAATTTCTAACCCAAGAAAATACACCCATTTATTTGCAAAACAAGACTGTAATAAGTAAACTTGACTCACAGCCAAACAGAAGACTTCCATTAAATGAGGTGATCGATCTTGGCTTAAAAGCGGTATTAATCACTTCGGTCCACTGAGAAGGACCTTCAGGAAATAAGGTCAACATCTCCACAGAAATCGAATCATCAGTGACGTATACTTTTCCATTGAAAAATTCTGCTGATGGACGAAACCTCGCATGAAGCATAGGTGTGATTTCACACCAACTGCCTGCATGCCCTAGAGGCGATGATGCTGTCAAAAAGATTTCCCCAATGCTGACTATCAGTTCATTATATGTTGTTCTCGTCAGTCCACCAACAACTATGTCACCAACACCGGGTATATGTGCTGCTCCCGTGCCATACCTGGGCGTTGGCATTGGGGGCAGTTTCCTCCACCTTAAAATGTAGAAAGCATGAAAAATTCGAGTAATATTTGTTGCCCCGATACCTGCGAGTGGTACTGAGTGTTTCCTTATCGGCAATACGTATATTTGACCTTGAAATCAGATAAAGTCAATCATCTGTATATGTATATGAAGACATACGCAACTTCCCAAATCTTGTCTAACTGAATGATCAAACGACTGGCCTTCCAATATTTGAAATGTCTTCGATTATCATTTGTAGGTGAAAATTTTTATCACAAGTCACATTAAAATGAAAAAAATAATTGCATTAAATTTTTCTAGACCTGAGCAATGTCCAAATTACACCAATGTCTATCTTCCTATGACACTGTGCAAATAAGTGAGTTGTTTCAGACCTCTTGAGGTGCAACGAAAGGAGACGTACTCTGGTAAAATGCAGGATGTGTATTTACAATTCAGAAAGGTCCACCAGCACTTCAGACAAAATATCTCGAAATGCATACAAGTTGAAAATAAAATGCTTACGTGTTGGTTACAGGTAGGAATTCCTCACAAGAGTCTAAAATTTTGTCACTTTGCCAATTATATCCACCAAAAACAAGAATTGCATGATCTCGAGCTACTGCCGAATAATCCCTTCTCTCTTCAATCATTGGCTGAAGAGTAGACACTTCAACATTTTGTGGATTGATTCTTTCCACGTTTGTTTTGGTAAACCTGTCGAAAAAACCCAGAGCGTAAATGCTACCTACAATGAATGAAATAGAGCAAATGGGAGTAAGCAATTGAAGTTAGCTTCAACCATCCAAAGAAACTGTGCGGCCGAAGTCATGACATAACAGTGGGAAAGCAAAATTTCTTCCTCCACTTAGTTCGGGAACAGACTTCAGGTAACCACTAATTGAATTGACTTCGCGCATATAAACACAGATTAATGATTTCTTTCTACAATGGAAATGACACACAGTAGAGTATGTACTTCATATTATGTGTTATAGGAAAACATGAACAGACCTTTCCAATGCAGAATCATTCAACTTCATAAATTTGTCCAGAAATACTCTCCTTAATGACCAAATATTCAATAATGAAAATGCGACAGTACCTTGCATTTTCAGACAAATTGAAATCTAATCCACCCACTGAGGCTTCAATTACACTCTCTTTCGACAATTTATTCATGTTGATCAACTCCAGCAGTTGCTTGAAGTGCCTTTCGCGTGTAGAGAGTTCGGCATTCACGGTCGAGACACGCAACCATGTGCAGAGTGCCTTCAATTTCACTGTTTCGCTACCATCACAAATCCAAGGACTTTGCAGTAAGAGTTGAATTTGGTCGACTCCCACGTGTTGGAGGAAGGGCTGATTGGAGGCTAATCTCTCAAAATCACATGCTACTCTTGGTATGCAGGCGCCAATGAGATGAGCGTTTGAAGTGACATTGCCTGCCAACCAAACCTCCATCAAATTAAGTCGATCAAGTCTACAAGCCAATTACGTTTTGTGCATGAGTGGTAGTGCCAGAAACGTTGGACGTTAGATGAAGGAAGATATATTCTTGCATCTCTT